TGGAAATTTTAAAATTGTTGAATATATAAAATCTATTTTAATATCTACTTTGATATATCGAATGTTCATCATACTACAAAAATTTATAGTATCTAATTTTATAATCACTCAATCATCTAAATTAAACCAGAAACATCGAATTAATTCAAGATAGAGAGCATAACTAATAATATAAAATATTAGTTAAGCATATATTATTTGTCTAGATAGTACTACGTATTTGATTAAACAAGTTTTGTTTAAAATAATTAGAGTAATTATTAGTATATATTACTTAGGAAAAATTGATTGTAATAATCCCAACTATGGGCAGTCCGCTTATAATAATCCTAACTATCGATTATTTCAGAATAATCCCAACTTTAGGGACCTTCCGCGAATAATAGTCCTTGTAAATAAATTCATGTAGTTTCCAAAGTGGATGAGAAGAGATATATCAAGTAATCCCTATAAATAATCTTAACTTTTAATTTTTACGCTTAATTTCTATTTAAAATTCACTTTTATAAGAGTTAATATTTGGTCATGGACCATTATTGGCGGACAGTCCATATAGTTAGGATTATATAAAAAATAATTAATAGTTGGGATTATTGTTAGCGGACCGGCAATAGTTGGGATTATTATTTTCAATTTTTCCTATTACTTAAATGATTAATTTAAAAAATGCTAACTCAAAACAATGAAAGCAAAAGGAGTGAAAAGAAGAAAAACCGGTAAGCAAAATAATTGGGTTGACTAAGTTAAAAAAACGAGCAAAACCACAATGAGAATAAATTGGAGCTATATGCAGTCACTTTGGGAGCTTTGAGTTATACCCTTATAGGAATACATTGAACCGGCCGAATGAAGAAGCTGCTCCCCTTAGCTTCTTCAACAATTCATTTTTTCAGCTTTTCAAACTAAACAAATTAATTTTAAAAGTCATTTACCAATCATTATTATTAGCTTCTTTGACTAATCAAACAGCTGAAATGGGTCAAACAAGCTAAAAGCTGGCTGATAAGCCATTTGCTAAACATACCCATTATAGTCACAAGCATGGTGCTCACATTGGAGTCCTAATTCGTGATTGCCAAAAATTACCGGAAGACAGACGATTTATTCAAATCAAGCACATCTTTCGAGAAGGTAATAAATGTGCTAATAAACTTGCGATTGCAGCCCTGCACGAAGCTCTTAAGGGTCTTACAGTGTTACACTCAGCTCCAATTTGGGTCAAACAAATTCTTTGGGAGGATGCTAATGGCTAGAGTCAATTGGAGTTTAATTAACCTTGTTGGTGCTTTTCCTTTTCTTTTATTTTTGTTCCGATGTATCAAAAAATGTGGCACACTGGCACTGGTTAGAATTCGATACTTCGTTTCATGCACATAGCCGTTTGATAATAACTGTTGTGGAAGTTTTTTAAAATGTACCGGTAAAGTATGTCTGGTTTCCCTTTTTATATTAGTATAGATAACTTTAGTCATAACAACTTAAGTTCATTTTTTATACTTAAATATTCACGACACTATGATATAGTGATTTATTAATACTTTTTTGAGTTTTTTCCCGGAATAATGCTAAATAAATAAATAATTCCCAAAATACTGTTGAGTTAAAAATAATTCCCAAAATACTGCTGAGTTAACGCAGCAGTGGCTTTTCTCAAAGAATAACGCAACACACTTACGTAACATATATGCCAAAGTCTAACAATAAATGCAGTGGGACCCATCCAAAATTAAAAATCTCCTGTTTTATTTGAACTGCTGTAACTTTTTTATTTGTACTCTGATTGTTACAAAAAATATATCAATATTCATAATTTTTATTATCTTTCATATGACACCAATATTGAACATATAAAATAAAAAATAATTTAACACTTTAAAAATTACTATCTCCGATCCTAAATAAACTTCTCGTGCAGTTTACGATGCTTGACTGGCGATAGAGCAACCCGATCCATGTTCACACCCGATTTATTTTTAGTAAATAAAATTTACATATTCAGAAACTACATTAAAACCGCTATAAAGCCTGATCAAGAAAATTTAAATTTCATAAAAAATTGACATATAAAGTAAAAGATTAAGAGTGATTTAAGTTGACCAATGAATAGTAAGTGTGAAGTTTATTTGGAACCGGAGGGAGTATGTATTTTTTTTAAAGTGCTATATATTTTTTATTTTATTCCGACATACAAAGAATATATCAAACTTTTTATTTTTTATTATATTTTATAGGAAAGAAATGTTTAATATAGAAAAATAAAAATAAAATCTGTTAATTTGTGTAGTTTAGGATCATTTTTTTACCATGCACATAATTAATAAACTACATAAATTGATAGATTTTGTTTTTATTTTTCTATATGAAACTTTTTAGAGGTTTTAATTAATATACTTTCTAAATATGTAAATTTTATTTAGTAAAAATGAACCGAGTGTTAAAAAGGAATCGAGTTGCTTTATTATCAGTCAAGCATCGCAAACCATATCAGAAGTTTATTTGGAACCGGAGGTAGTAGTATTTTTTAAAGTGTTAATTTTTTTTTTTTTTATATATTCAATATTGATGTCATATGAAAGATAATAAAAAACTATGAATATTGATATATTTTTTGTAACAATCAGAATACAAATAAAAAAGTTACAGCAGTTCAAAGAAAACAGGAGATTTTTAATTTTAGCTGGGTCCCACTGCATTCATTGTTAGACTTCAGCATTGTTAGACTTCAACATATGTTACGTAGGTGTGTCGTGTTATAAAAGCCGCCACTTCAAGTGGCGGCTCTTGTACTGTGTAGAGAAAAGCCGCCACTTCAAGTGGCGGCTTTCATTAACCACGATTAACCCAACAGTATTTTGGGAATTATTTTTAACCTAGCAGTATTTTGGGAATTACTTATTTATTTAGCATTATTCCGGAAAAAATCTCTAATTTTATAAATAAATTTATTTGATTAATATTTGTGAAAATCTTGTATTATTTTCATTCCTAGTTTTTATTCAACATTGTATTATATGATTCCATTTTTCTTAATAATTAAGTCACTTATTCATCTTTATATCTTAATGGAAGAGATGTAATACTTCGTATATATCATAAGGAGTATTAAATAAAGAGAAAACTGCCAATTTGTTCATCGTACTATCGTGTAAAAGTCAATTAGGTCCTCATACTTTTGAAAAAACGTTCGATTGAGTTAATTAACAGGTTACTTGTCATCTGCTGACGTGATGTACACGCGACGGTCCACGTGTGTGCCACGTCATCGATAAATGGCTCATTGGGCTTTCAAATGTGTGCCACATCAGCAAAACCACACCCGACTAGGCTGTTACATTTGTGACACATCAGCAAATGACTTGATGTAGTGCCAGATAACCTGTTAATAGACTCAATTTAACGTTTCTACAAAGTTCAGACATTTGATTGATTTTTTCACAAATATGAGGACTCAATTGACATTTTTGCAGTAGTAAAGTGACCAAATTTGATAGTTTTCCCTTCAATAAAATTTTGTCTTTAAAATGCTCAGTGTTCAATATCAGATTGTTTGAAGTAACTCATTTCACTCGTGTCTCTATCTCTGTTTGAGGCTAGATTATTGCAACTAACAAATGATTTGATTTTGTATTCATGCTAATTTATGCACTAACCTAAATTAATTGTTACCTCGTGATGATAATGTCAAATGTTTATATCCTTTTTTTTAACTTCAAGCGAAATAATGCTAAAATACAATTTTTTTATCGTCAAACCAACAAATATATTAAATCAACAAAATGTTCATCACATGGATAAAAATACAATCAAAGAAAAATCAGGAAACAAAACGATAAAAAGTCTTATGTCCGCCGTCCGGTCTCGAACCATACTTAGAATCTATCACCTCTGTAGAAGCAATAACATTCGCGGATCCTGTAATGGGCTTAACTGAGCCAATGACAGGCAAACCAGACTTCTTATCACCTGACTTAAATTCTAGAATCTCTCTGCTAGGAAATAAGAACACATGCAAAACAACATCCAATTCGAAAGAAAAACACAAACAGAATAAAACGGAATTAAAACAGAATTCACTCATGTTCTTCCAAACCCCAGACTCGCTTGAACTCCATAGCAGCGGCTCGGAGGAGGAGGCGCTCGCCGCTTATCCGCCTCAATATCCATAATTTTGTGTTGATTGACAATATCCTCCATTGATATCCCTTGCTGTTGAATCGAACCCAAGCTCCGCCATAGCTTATCCGCCTTTTCTTTATCGACACTCGACCTTCGACCAGAAGCAATAGTAGAAGTCGAGCTCTGACTGCCAAAACACTGCATCCTTGGTCCCGAGCCTGCTTTCACGGCCGAAATCGACCGACGGTCGCTCTTCGTCAATGACGAAAGCGGAAGAATGAAACCCTAATTCGTAGGGAGATGACCGCTAATAGCAATTGTGCTATTGAATGATTGAATTACGCACAAAAACTAACCGTGACAATGATAGAAAAGCCTCCAATCTATTTTGCCGCTGCGAAAGAGACTCTCACTGTGGAAGAAACCATGCGGCGCAATTTAATTCTAAAATACAATATACTACCTCCGTTCTCTTTTAAATGCAACGTTGGACTTTTTGCACTATTCACATGTTCTACTTTGACTACGTTTTATTTATTAATGTAATAATATATATTTTTGAAAAAAATGTTATTAAATTTTTCTCATTATAAATTTTCAAAATCTATTTTTTAAACTTTTTTTACTAATCGGGAATTATATATATTAATGGTCAAAGTTGTGCCTCGGCAAATGTGAAATGTTGACTGTTGCATTTATTTAAGAACGGAGGAAGTATTGGCTACATGTGGAAAATGACAAATCAATAAATATTTGGATTTTCCTACTAAAAATATTGATCAATATTGTCAGCAAAAATTATTATTTGGTGATTAGCCTGTTGATTCAGTTGTTGGTTTCAAAAAACTTATAAATGAAACATAAGAGCAACATTTTTTTGGAAGAAAGCGGCTTATATTAAAATTACAAAACTTAAACAAGACGCAAAACAACAAAAAGCCTTATGTTTATCGTCCGCCCTCGAACCAGACTTATAAAGGGCTTAACTGAGTCAATGACACGCAAATCAGGCTTCTCGTCATATGTCTTAAATTCTAGAGTTTTTCTGCTAGGGAATAAAAAGACAACCAAAACATGCAATTCGAAACAAAAACACAAACAAAATAAAATGGAATTAAATCAAAGTCATTCGTCTTCTTCCAAACCATAGGCTCTCCTGCACTCCTTGGTGGCAGTTCAGGAGGGGGACAAGCCAACAATATTGTAGCTTCTTTCTCATCCTGCCTGTAATTCATCATGTTCTCTGCCAAGCTTCTACTTTCATCATCAAACTCAGATGACCTCGAATCCAGATCTGTTCCAGCCTTTATTCCCAAGTTCGCCCATGATCTTCCGATCTCAGCCATGAACACCGTTCTGGAAACTCTCCACCCGCTGTTAGGAGTGCACGACATTCGGCCACCGAAGACCAAGCACCCATCTTCCGCCCACGACCAACAGTAAACAAGATGTTTGTGGTATCCATAGCTATGGAGATCTTGTTCTCTTTCTACCAAACAAAAATCTAGAACCAAAAAACCAACGTCTCACCAACCCTTGGCTATGACCAACAACGGCGGAAAAGAAAAATCCCACTCGAGGAAAGTGAGATAGCAATTGCTTAACCTAACGTAGGAGCAATATTTAGCAATAGCGTTTCTGAATTATTCATTAAAAAACTTATTTAGTAATAATAAAAGTAATATAAAGTAAAGTAATAGAATAACCCAAAGCTAAACTGGGATGAGACACAAAATCGATTAGCCCCCAAGGAAACATCACTCAACTTGCTACTAAAACGAGAAGTAAGAAAACATAAATTATCTTTAAAAAGGCAACAAATTAATTCTAGCATCCTAGTTTTACCAACCACCGGTAAAGGAGAAGATATTTGGTTAGTCACCTCTCAATGTAATTAAACATCTCATTCACGGGTTCCGTCTACTATTCTGGACAGTGTTGTTCCAAAAGCATTGCTGTCGAGCCATTTTTTCAACTGTCCCCATCAATCTCCATGGACTCGAACTTCCACCAAACTCTAAAGATCCACAACCATTCTTTTTCTAGATTCTCCTTTCTCAAGAGCTCTAACCTAGGGGTGGACATGTGGTTTTCGGTTCGATTTTTATCAGTTGCGGTTCGGTTCAGAATGAGTTGGAAGAATCATTACCAAACAAATATCATACTATTTTTTGATTTGGTTTGGTTTATTTAGTTCAGTTTGGATTTGTTATTTTTAATAATATATGAACGTTTTATTGAATTTCTTTAGTTCGATTCGATTTTTATCAGTTTCGATTCGATTTATTATGGTTTGGAAGAAATACTACTAAACTCAAACCGAATTGCATATGACCCGATCTCGATTTGGTTTAGTTTGGTTTGACACAGTTCGATTCAATTCGGTTAAACCAAGCTGATATTTCCACCCCTACTCTGACCTGATATTACTCCTCCCCAACACACATCTTTTCTTTTCCTCTTGAGGTAGTCCCTCAATTAAGTAAAATTCAGTATCTTCTCCCCTCTCTTGCTTCTTCGTCAGCTGCTTATCATTATCACCTTCTCCCCTTTCACTCGTGAATCCTCTTCCCCCACGCGGTATGAGCCCATTTGTTTCATGGGTGGATCCCTCCACACCACATATATGTCTACTTGCATCCAAGGATCATAAGGTTTCTCCCAAATCCATGGCACTAAGCGGGTGTTAGATGATCAAAAGGGGTCAGTGTGTCCTAGGCATTGAATCATTGATCCAGACCCGGTTCAAACCCATTCCAGACCCGATCATATTCAATCTGGTATTCGTCGATTCGAGCCGGTCAGTCCAGGTCCATGAAAGGTGAAGCCCTAACCCGACATAATTCATTTTCTAGGCTCAAAAAAATTGGCCGGTTCTGGACCGAACCGGGATTGGAACCGCCAGATTCAGTCCCAAGGACCGGTAACCGCTTGTACCCGATCGAGTATCTGATCCGGTCCCGCACAATAGCGGGTCCGCGATCCAGGACCACTAACCGAGTCCACCCCTAGTATGTCCTAGTACCCCACACATGAAGCAAAAATTGAGAAATCTTTCATACTTGAAATCTATAAAAGAACCATTCTTAATGTTAATGGAAACGCGAATGTCCTAGTATGAAAGTATATGCAAGTATGATATATTCCAACTAAAAACGTGTGAATATGAAGAAAAAATCCTAGACTTATTTTGAAGATGAAGAAAAATGAAGTTATCAAAGTCCGAATTAAGACAAGATAGACAGCTAAATCATCATCTCCATGGAACTTAATTCGAAAAACTATGACAACGAGCAACACCAATTTTTTGATGAAGGAAAAAGAAGATAATTGAAGAAGAAAAAGACCGGGATTTTGAAGATGAAGACAAAAAATTATTGTTATTTTTTAATATTTTAAAGAATGAAAAGAAGGATAATTAACGAAGAAAAAGAAAAATTAAAGAAATCGAGAAAAAAGATAACGAAAGGAAATAGATGACCCGAGATTCCAAGAAGATCTATTAGCTATAGTTTTGTAATTAGAGAATGATGTCATATTGAGACTAGTATACTATCCACATGGACCACATGGTATAACACATGGTATAACAGTATCACTCTAATTTGCATAAGTTGATTTGCATCAAATGACAAGACATTGAACTAAATTTATTAAGAGCTATAACACCGCACAACTACAAGTGTTTAAAACATACGGAGTATGTTTTTTATTTTATTTCAAGTAATTGTAATTATAACATGGTTATTATAAAAAAATAACAAAAAATAGGACAAACCTAATCATATATTCATATCCTTGTGTCCTTTTATTAAATATTGATTTATAATTAGCTCACATAATCAAGTCAATTAAAACAGCTAACACAACAAGTTAAATTAATCACCTAAGATCTACTAGTTGGTTTGCAAACAAGGCCATTTACTAAACCACCATTATAAGGAGATGTTTTCCGTATTAATGATAATTAATTAATTAATTACGAAAATAGAGTTGGGTTAAAAGTATTTACCAAAATACTGTTGGGTTAACTATGGTCGGGGTAAGTCGCTTACCCCTTAAGTAAAAACGGGGCCGGTCCTGCTAGACAAAACACACCACCACCACCACCACCACCACCCCCCCCAAATTGAAAGCAACAGCAGCAAGCGACGAACCCCCCACCGCGAGCGACGACCGGCGAATCAACACTCCGGCGAGGTCTCCGACTCTCCTCCATCTTCCTAAGAATCCTTCATCTCCATCCTCTTCAATACTCTTTCTTCTTTCTTCTAGGTAAATCCAAATCCATTTCATCTCATTTTGAACTTAGGGTTTTGAATGTTAAAATTTTTGAATTTTTGAATTATGAATTGATTGTGAATTCAGTTGTTGTGAGATGTGGATATGTATGAAATGTTGAAATTTAATTTTAAATTGATTGTAAATTTTAATGTGTATTTTGACATTTGGGCAGACTTGAATGTAGCTAAGTTTGGGTATTGAAATGTGGACTTGAATGTACATATCAAAATTTGGGTAGTTTCATATTGAAATGTGAATTGTTTGTAAATTTTGACTTTTGAATATATTACAATTTTGGTAGCTTTTTCTATTGAAAATTTGAATGTGTATAAAGTGTGTGTATTGATGCCTACAGTTCCAGGTCCGGTTCCGGGCCAGGCCACCCGGTTTGTAATTTTTTTTTTTGGCTTCTCCTATTTAACCCCCAACCCACCCCCCCACCCCAAAACACCTCAAATGGTCCAAAATACCCAGCTCAACCCAAAAACTTAAAAAAAATTCAAAAAAAAAAAAATTAAATTCGGCCCGGACCAGGCCCGAACCGGACGGGCCGGTTCACCAAATGGAGGGCCCGAGCCCGGAACCGAAGCCCATCGGGCCGGGTGGCCCGAACCGGGCACTAACCAGTTCACCGGGCCGGTCTGAGCCCACACAGTAGCGGGCCGGTCCGGTTCCGGGCCGATTGGCCTGGCCCGAGTCCATCCCTACATGAAGGTGGTAGAACCAGCTTTGTCATGATTTCTCGTGGCGCTTGCATGCTCGAGATCCTTCAAAAAATACATGCAGCCACAATGATTCATCCTAACCGTTCTTTGCGGTTGAAAATGAAATTTCCCATGAACGGGAGAAAGTACATGCTTATGCAGTTATGCCCCTCATTGATGAGCTAACTATAACAAATATGTGGAGCATAACTCGGAGGATATGTCAACGCTTGAGATATACATTGAGAAATCCTGTGACGCTTATGGTACTCAATCAACATCAAATTTCTTTTTCTGATGACGCATTTGGGCGACTTATAAGTCGCCAAACCCGTTTTTACTTAAGGGGTAAGTCATCCAACCGTTGACAACTTACCCCGACCATGGTTAACCCAGCAGTATTTTGGTAAATACTTTTAACCCAACCATATTTTCGTAATTAATTAATTAATTAACATTAATACGGAAAAAAATCTCCATTATAAGATATCAACTTGGTGAACATTTTTTCTTTGAACAAGGTTATTTTTTCGTTTACTAAATATTTAAAGAAAAAAAAGTTCAAATTAAAAGTAGAGTTAACTAGTAGTGTAAAATAGTGCAAAAAGTAATCCAAATGCAATAGATGAAAATTGAAATGTCAGAAAAGGGATATGAAACGACCAAAAGGTAAGAACTGAGACATGAAAAGAGAACATACAAAAATAGCAAAACAAAAATGAAATTCTTGCATATAACAAAATGCCTTTAAAAAAAAGAGGGATAACTTATTTTCTGTATAAAAGTTTTTGTAACATACTATATTATTGTAGAAAGCACGATAAGAACAGAGCTTTGTAAAATAAAGAAATAAGACAAGCATAAAAACGGTAGATTTTTGTGTGGCTCTATACGCATAAATGAAAGAACAGAAAAAATGGATGTAACCAGGTGAGACAATCAGGTGGGACTATGAGAGTCTTCCTTCATTATCAAACTGTGATTTATGATCCCATTTTTTAAAATGGATGTAACCAGCCTAGTGAATGCCCGGATACTGAACCAGCTCATCTATCCCAATTCCCAAGTAAGGTGCCACCACCAGCCTATTTACTGGCAAGTGACGGTAGTTTTAGTCATGAATTCAGCACCAGAACCAATTCAAAACCATAACAGTTGTACCCGTTTACCATTCTTGTTTCACTTTTTCAATTGCCTAAGACCGACTGGTGCTAGACAAAACCAAAACCAGACAACATCCACCCCAACTGCATGTCAACACAGTGTTTGGACCAAAACTAAAACTGACGGTGATTTACATACAAATGACCCTAACGTTTAAGATCAAAAAACTGTTGCATTACAAAAAAAAAACTCTGGGAAAAAATTGATTTATTTTTCTAATATTGATGCTTTTGTAAAATATGCAAAAAAGGGCCACCTTTTCTTTTAAAAACGATTTCTAATAATCACTCAGTGATTCTAACAAGTTTATTTGAACTAAACACCACCTTAATACACTACAGGATTGCATTAGTATAAGTGCAAAGGTCTGTGTAACATTCATATCCAATCCTAGAACC